CTTTTTTTTTTTTTTTTTTTTTTGTACTGGGGATCAAACTCAGGACCTTGCCCTTGTGAGGCAGGTGCAGTGCCACTGAGCTAAATCCCCAACCCTGAGCATTCCTATTTCTGCAGATTTGTTTTCATTCAACAGATGGATTTCTGCCTCCTAGCTTTGTGAAATCACCGTGCATAGGGTCTCTAGTCATTTTAGTGGATAAATGTCCACTAATATTTTAACAGATATCTCTATCATTTCAAAAATGAATGATGAAAGGGCACGGGGGCTCTTGGAGGGGGGCAAAAATCTCCAAAATTGGTTGTCTCATTGGGTTGATCGGGGTTGATATGTGGATACTAAGTTGTAGGCGATAGGAGTTCTAGGGTGCTATTGCCCACTGGGGTGACTACACATAGTGACTCTGCACATTAACCTCAAAAAGCTAAAGATTTTGAATGTCCCATAAGAGAGTGATAAACATTGGAGGAGGTAGATACATTTAACCCTGTTACACGACATATGCATGTATCAAAACCTAACCTGGTACCCTATTGGCATGTGCAATTTTGTGTTCTTATGTATCCATATTGAACATGGGCAAGGCCCTGGGTTCAATCTGTGGCACCCAAAATGAATAATTAAAAGTTTAAAAAATATATAAAATTGGGGCTGGGGATTTAGCTCAGTGGTTCTGGCGCCTGCCTTGCAAGCAGAAGGACCCGAGTTTGATCTCCGGTACCAAACAAAACAAAACAAAATATATGTATATCACTTGTGATGGGCACACACCAGGATAGGCTAACCACCCATGAATTGTACCCTTTGATAGGTGAATTATATGGTATGCGAGTTGTGTTTCAGTAAATCTGTTACCACAGATCAGATGAACTGAGAGAGGGATTGGAAACAGGGTCTCTCTTGGATATTTATCTCAGCAAGTCGTTGAGCCTTCCTTGCTTCTTAAGCCACAGAATCGAGCAGAACTGTCAGTGCCCACCAGCTCCTGGAAAATAATCCTTTAAATCACCCCGCACAGTTGGCAGTTATATTCCTGCTTAGCTTTGTACCCAGCAGAGAAACTTGCAGAGATTGCGGATGAAATCAGCCATGTGCTCTGGCTCTTTGTCGTGAGGCTGTTGGATTAGTGGTGCTGTTATCACTTGGGAGCAAACACCAAAACCTGGGCTCCATCCAAGACCTGTTGAATCTAAAGCTGCATTTTCACAACGTTTCTCGGTGCTTCCTGCACATTAACCTTTGTGAAGTGCTGTCCTGTCTACAGGACCTGGGCTTGTGAATTCCGCCTTCTTGTTTCTATCTTTGGATGAAGTGCCGAGTTTCTAACTAACACTGCTCTTGGTTTTGTCTTGGTCTCCAATAACCTCTACCCTTCACTTTGCTCAGTTTAGGGCACAATTCTTAGTCCTGAAACCCATCAGCAGCGTTTGATACACTGATTTCCTTCTTTTCTTTGTTTGTTTTTGTAGTGGGGATTGAACCAATAGCCTTTTCACTGATCGGTGTGTCCTTAGCTCCTTTTTTATTTTTATTTTTTTAGACAGGGTCTTGCTGAATTGCCCAGGCTAGTGTCGAACTTTCAATTCTTCTGCTTCAACCTCCTAAGCAGCCTCGTTGGCTACAGTTTTTCTTGAGAACGTGTTTTCTTGGGGCTTGCTGTTGGTTACACCCTGGTTTTCTCTCTCACTGGCTACTGGCCTCTTCATCTCAGTAGTATCTGCTGGTTTCTTTTAACTTTCCAGACCTTTTAGCTGTGGAGTGTCCCAGATTTTAGTCTTTGGGTGTGTTCTATGTCTAGCCCTACTGTGGTGATTTTCTTGAGGGCTTTCTAGACCATCTGTGTGCTAGTGAAGCCCTATTTATCTGCAGCTTGTGTCTCCCCTTTAAATTCCAGACCCACAAATCTAACAACTGAGTTGATGCTTCTACTTGGATGTACAATAAGCATCTCAATGTGTTTAAATCAACTTCCCAATTTTCCCTCTGATACCCGTTTGTCCACTTAACGGCACCTCTAACCTTGTATGACTTGAAATAAAAACCTCCAGTGGGGAGTGCTCTTTGCCTCCAGTCAGCTCCATTTCAAATATCTTATCTGGAAGCCCACGTTAAAAATGGGTAAAAGATCTGAATAAACATTTCACCAAAGATACAGGAATAGCCACAATGATGTGCGACATCGTTAATCTTTAAGGAAATGCAAATCAAGTCCATATGAGACACTAGTTGAAACCAGCATGAAAAAACACTTCCACCTTCTGGGAGGGCTGTAGTTTAAAGGGGCAAAGGATGGTAAAGGTTGGTGAGGGTGTGGAAGAATAACCTGTGTTCATTGTTCGTGGGAGTGTAAAATATGATAGCCACTCCAGAAAACAATTTGGCAGTTTCTTAGAAGTTAAACACATTTCCCATACAATGCAGAAGTTCCATGTGTTTGCATGCAAGTGACAAATGAAAATATACATCTGCATAAAGACTCAAGTGAGCAGCATCCATAACAGCCAAAGGTACAGTCCAAATGTCCATTAACTGGTGAATGCTTAAACAAGGTCTAGTGTATTCATTCAAAGGGATATGACTCAGTGTAAAAGGAACGAGCTGTGGATAGGTGCTACAGCACGGGTGACCTTTGGAATCATTTGTTAAGCAAGGGAAGACAGATGCAGAAGACCACGTGGTGCCTGAGTTCAGTTCTGGGGAATGGAATGTCCCAAACAGGCCATCACCTGGGGCTGGGGCTGGGGCTGGGGACTGGCAGAGAGCAGAGATGGGCACAAGGGACCCCAGTGCCATGATGGAAGGGTTCTAAAAGTGGATGTGGTGATGACTGGACTACTTTGTAGATTTGTTTAAAACTATTGAATTGCGTTTAACAAGTGAATTCAATGTGTGCAAATTATGTCTCCGTAACACTGTAAAAGTATAGCCATGCGTCTTGGGTTGTAACTCAGTAGGAAGGGTGCACGCTTAGCCTGCGTAAGACCCAGCGTTTGATCCCCAGCACCAGGAATACAACCAACCATCCAGAATCTGACCACGATTATATTCTCTACCACCGTCCTGGTCCTAGGCCAGCATCACCCCATCCATGTGGCTGTCACCCACTAATCGTCACACACATACAGTCTATTAAGAAGTTGTCTGACTTCTACTCCTGTCCCCCAGTTCTATTTATAACATAAGACCCAAAGTGATCTGGAGACACAGGCAAATCAGACGTACACACTGCTGAAACTCTGTTGGTTCCTGTCTCCAAGAGAAAGTCAACATGTATAGTGGCCTTCCAAGCCTCACTAATATGCAGTTACTTTGCCTTCTACTTCCTCCCTTACTATAAATTAGACCCAGTCAAGATGGCCTCTTTGACTGTCTCAGTCACACTCTTCCCACAGGGCCTTTGCACTGGCTGTTGCTTTTGCCTGAATGCCATGACATCAGGTTCCTAATGACTTACCTCTTTGAAGCCCTAACTTAGACATTATCTTGAACAGTGAGGCTTTCCTTGGCCATTTCCTATATTCTTGAGCACCCTTTCTGACTTTTTTCAAAGAGCTTATTTGCCATTTAAATAAAAGTACCTTGATTATTTACACTGATTATTGTCTGTCTCCTCTCTCTAAGTTGTAAACTCCATAGAGTCAAAGATTTTTTTGTTCACAGTTTTAGCCCCAGCTGCTAGTATAGTTCCTGGCATACAGAAAACCCTCAAATATTT